ACTCTATCTGTGGACTGTAAATCTTAAAAATAGCCTTGCAGTGAAGACTTCATTACAAAAAAGCTATGTTACAAGGCTATCATGTCCTCCCTGTGGCTTTTCATAAGCCATCTAGTTTATGAGTGAAGAGTTTCCAAGCAATCATTTCAACGGTCTGATGAAATAGAAATTCGTAGCTTCTGCATCCAGTGACTTGATCAGTATATCTTCATATGAGGTAGTGTTCATGCTGTTTCATTCTCCAGCTGCTTGAGGTATCCAAGAGTTGAAAAAATATGTCATAGAAGCAACTTATGTGTATGTGATTTGTGTTGCTTTTCCAAATGGAGATCCTGTTTTGTGATGTTGTGCACTGTTGCCTGGGGCACACCTTTGTGTTTATGGATTCTTATCTGTTAAAAGATGCAATACTTTGCATACCACAGCTGGGGCACCACTTGTTGCAGGTCTCTTACTGGGTGGTTTTGGTGCCCCAAGTTGATCCATATTACTTCAATTATTTTATTTAAATGCCAGTAAGCACAAAGAACCCCCCCCCTCTTGGAAATTCTACATCCTTGGTCTGAATGGTGAGTATTTTGTGTCAGAGAGGATTGTTACATACCATTTCCAAAAACGATGCATTTTATGTGATATAATACTACCTATGTAAATGCCAAACAATGTTAACATTTAGTCCCGATACATACCATTCCACTGCAGATTTACATATTCAAAATTTTTTAAATATAATATACTCAACCTTCTGCATATATCACAGTACTGTAGTTTACTGATTTGAAGTGTTTAAGTGCACTAATGTAAGACAATATATGACAAATTAAACTTTAGCTCAAAAAATAAAATATGGTTGTTACAGCCAATAAGTTTAAAATTTACTAGGGAAATTGTCTTAGCTATTTGGGGATCTTGTCAAAATGCTTTGAATAATACACATTTTACATAAAAGCTTAGGTAAACTAATACAGTTATGGTCAGAATATTCTTTTAAATATTTTAGAAAAAAAAAATCTTTGTATCCTTAAAAGTTTATCCAAGAAGTGATAAGAGTAAAATTAGTAGTGTTTTGTAAGTAATTTGGTTATGTTTTTCCTAAATCTTAATCTCAAACCAATAGTGAAGGTACACAGTAATTTAATAGCTGATATTACATATTTTTCTTCAAATGTTTATATAAAAAAAAACTACATAAATCAATCATCGACGAATATCCAAAAATAAATTAATTCTTTGTATTTGGCCATATGGAACTTACAATAATTTTGCATTGTTTTTCTCATTCACTACTCTTATCTTTACTAATCCTACATTGTCTTGAAACTTTAATTGCTGATAAACTGGGAAAGAAATAAGTCACAACTTATGATCAAATGTTCAAGCCAAGAGTTCAGTCAATACGTACCACCAACAGTCCTAGTTCTTCCAAGCTTATCCACAAGATTGTTTGTAAGGTTAGCTAATGCTAATTTTCTTTTGAAGCCATGTACTTTACATAAACTACCAAGGATAGTTTTCACTGGCTGAAATTACAAAAAACACACATACTTAGAACTTTTTTTCTAGAATATGTGGGAAAAATATGCTACATATCTTTATACCATCTGATAATATTAACTTCAATTTAACATATAAATAATATTCACAACAATATTTGGGGCTTTTTTTTGAACCAATCAAATGCAGTGTTTCACGCAAACAAACTGTATAATACACCTAAGTCAAATACAGTTGAAACATATTTCACAATACACAATTAGACTATAAACTGTTGTTTTCAATACCTGTGATAACAAATGTACAATTTCTTCCTGTATTTGGTGACTTGCTTTAAGAAGCTCTTCTGATACAGGGTTTTCTTCTTCTTGCTTTTCATTCAAAATGTTTGGGTCTTCTGGACCCCTAGAGCAAAAAATAATAATAATTTTTTAAACAAATCAATCAATTTGTTACATCCATTTGATCAATTAATCATACAGAATTGTTGATTAATGTACTGTGAACTTTCAAGCAGCAATAAAACTCCAATGTCAGAGAATCTATCAATGTAGCAAGATGGGGATTCAAATGCTGCAGATGTTTTGTTTTTTAGTAGCTTATAGAAATTACCACAAGTATATGAATTATCACTTTAGCATACTTTCTTGATAACATTCTTGCTGACAGAAAAATCTATGTACTGTTACATCTAAAACTACCCTCATTAATGACAACTATACTTTCAGAGCTGATAAACCTTGCAAAATGTTTAATACCAATGTACAAATATAATATGACATTCATTCTTTTCAACCAAATTAACCAGTATCCCATAAGTCATCGCAATAAAAATATTCAATATTAGAAGCGAAATTATTTATTCAATAAGACAAATTCAGTTAGTTAATATTAACTTTTACAGCTCAATTCTCATACTGTGGTACAGTGGAAAGTCCTTCTGTTACTTTATGTTTCTTGCAACAAATTGTATTGGTTTGATTTTTAATCTCATAAACATAAGACTTACTGCTGAGCCAATTGGTGGGCACAACAAATTGTATTGGTTTGATTTTTAATCTCATAAACATAAGACTTACTGCTGAGCCAATTGGGGGCACAACAAATTGTATTGGTTTGATTTTTAATCTCATAAACATAAGACTTACTGCTGAGCCAATTGGGGGCACAACAAATTGTAACAGGTAGTATTGCTTTGCTGCAGAAATATTTGCCAACTAACTTTTGCATTACAAGTTTGTAGCCATACAGTGTCGTGTGGCATCATTACTTTGTGTAGTGTAAAATCAGTGTAAACACTATCTCAAACCTTGAATGTTTTCAAGGTGATTTTGTTTTAGAACAGAAAAAATAATAATTAGTTTACACCTTGAAATAGTATTCTAATTGTTTTAATAAATCATGAAACTTCTTTTTTCAAATAGTATTATTCAAGTGAAATAAATGTATTTCTGATACCTGTTTTAATACTTATATTTTACAACCACTTGAAAATATTAACTCAATTCAATGCAATCTTTCTTCAATTCCAAGTTGTGAAGACCACCTATATTAACCCTTTGAGTGCATAATTAGATTTCAGGTGAGTTCTCGAAAAGTGTCAATTATCCACTAAAAGATTAAAGTTAGAATCTGACCTTTTTAATACTCTTTCAATATCAAAATTTAATAGTTGTGCTTTTGCTCGGTGATGTATACATGCTCAGTACTAAGACAGGAAATTCAAGAAACGTAGGAGTATTCCGATTGTCGCACTATGAGGAAACGTTTTTGTGACACCGTGGGGTAAATCTGCTTGTTGCACCAACGGCTATAGATGTCAAGTCAGATAAATCCAATTATAGCATCCAAAACGTTAAAGGTTTTTCAGAACCGGTTCAGAGTGTTTAATGGTTGTTACATCACAATGGAAACGGAGTGGTCTTGTTTTATCAATCCTTGGACCAAGAAACTGGAATTTGTTGTAGGACAACACCGTGTTTTGAAGTGAGTTAAAAGAACCATACTGGAAGAATATTTAATATATATACTCTAGGCTTTTTGTTAGTGTACAATTCACTGCATCTTGTCTAATTCTAAATTACCCAATATGCAGTACAAAATTAATGATAATTACTGTTTTCCTAATGTAAAATAAGTTACAATTCTGGTGGACTAGGAGGGACATTATATTTTCACAGGGATTCTAGGTTTGTGAGTAAAGTCTTCTAGTTAACTTACTGCTCAGAAGATTTTTCAGACACCAATCACTGTATGTGATACAACAAACATTCATATTGGAAGCAAAATATGGTGCAGATGTGTTAACATAACCCTCTTTCAATTTGGATTGTGATATGTTAGTGCTTAATATGTATTTAAAAATTAGAATTGGCTAGTTGTGTGATAAGGTTTGCTTCGAAATGGACAACCCTGCTCTTTCATAACTGAAAAACAGAAAATATTGTTACATATGCAGAATAATACACTGGTATTGTTCTTTAAAATTACATATTTATCACAGTTACAACTTTTACAGAAAAAAAGGTATCCAAGTATACTGTTTACATATTGATGTTTCCATAGTTACACATAATGATGCTATATGAAAACATGCTTATATAGTTTAAGATATGTTTAGTTTAAATTTTTAAACAAATTATGTAACACACTGTTTATAAACACTTTACTCAATCTTAAGTTATAAAAGTCAATTTTATACATATAGCTGTAATATGCACACACATCTTAGTTATAATTTCAACTCATACAGAAAAATCATTGAAAGAGCTTGGGTATCATTTTATAATCATACATATCTAGTATTATTAATACTCCCGAAGGAAGTAAAAGTTCTAACTAATCATCAGGTTGGAATAGAGCTACACTAAGCAACACAATTAACCTGTACAAATGGCATGTTGACTGCTTACTACTAGATTTTTTAACATTGGTAGAGAATCATTTTTAAGTTTTTCCTGTGGACAAAAACTGATGGTTATTTTCCAACAGAGTATTTCAGTTCAATTATTATACCATTTTTGTTGCATCTTAAAATCACATTTCAGTTAATCTTAGGTATTTTTGTAGTAAGTGAAAAAGTACTGTTAACTTTTATTTTTTATTTTGATATCATAATTCTTTTGATTTTGTTTTCAAGAAGATTTTTTTCTCTTAAACTAAGAACAAATGAATTAATCACCATTTTCCCTTTTCATTAACACTCTCAACTGACAAAGTAAGTAGGGAAACCATCAAATGAACACTTGAAATTAAAATGTCACTGACATCCCTCCAGCACTATTGTAGTTTTTGTTTTAAAACTAATTTAGCACTAAAGAAATATATCAACTATATTACCTAGATAACAATCAATACTTAACCCATTAACTGCGGATGATGGATATTTCCATCAATGAAGTTCTATGGCTCAGCTGCGAATGATGGAAATATCCGTCAGTCACACATATGCAAATATAACTCTATGCAAATGACGATACTTACATCAATGAAGTTCTATGGCTCAGCTGCGAATGACGGAAATATCCGTCAGTCGCACATATGCAAATATAACTCTATGCGAATGACGATATTTACAATTTTATTGTGATTGATGGCAACTCAGTTTTATCTGCGAGTCAGAAAATGGCAACTGAGCTGCTCCTGCAGCGGTTAATGGGTTAATAAGTTCTTACTAAATTTGTTATCACCATGCTTACCTAGTTCATAAATGTCCTTCATCTGCGGCAAGTCATCCATATGATAGAAATCAAACACAGAGTTTCCCACCATGTCCTGAGGAACAAACCCTAGGTAGGGTATGGCACTGTTGAAACACAAGTACAAAATGTCTCGTGGATTAGAAGCACTCATGAGGAGGTCAGAAAAATACAAAATGCTTTATTTACAACTCATTTTATGTGATACAAGTTTCGGTATTCAATATCTTTCAATTTAAAAAAAAAGAAATTGGTGATATACAGGTATAACTGATGTTCTGCCAAGGTCAATTATTGCATCTCCATGAAAAAACAAAGCACTGAATCCCTCAAGTTTGAAATAATTGTTGTTTACAAAACACTGAAACCCTCAAGTTTGATATAATTGTCGTTTAGACAGTATTTCAGTTCATACTTAAGAGTAAACGTGTGCATGTTCTTCAGAGATCTTACAAAAATCTACTGTTATTTAAATTGTATTATTAGAAAAAGCCATTATTGAATCAAACTACCAAAAACAAATAATATAACAGTATAGTAGCTGTACTTACCTGTTATCAACATGACTGAAGTAACAAGCCGTACTGTGTCTGGTAGAAAAGGATGACATTGTTGGAATTTCTTCTGGTACTGAAGATAAAAATATTGTTTACATCCCTTTAATACCTAGCATAACAATGCTTTGTACATACAGAAAATCTGCTGAAGGCAAGTCTTTTTACATTAAAAAAATGAACAAACACTTAGAAGTATTTCCAATAAACTTTTGAGGCCACCATAATAGTTAAGTACGTACACTTTTATAACCCTTTAAGATCTTGAAATAAATTTCTACTAAGAAATTAAGTAACAATAATTATTTATGTTTTAAGATTTCATTATCCATACTAAGCATTTGATATTGGAATAAAAGTCACTAAGTTTTTAACATTTCCAATTTTCATGTTACTGTTAATTGATGTTATAAGAAAACAAAATTCATATTTGTATCCATGCTGAGTTCTTCATACACTGAGTTCACGCAAACTTTCTACTGTAACACGAACAGCTGAGCAAAAACTAGCAAAATAGTTTATTAAAGATTAAAAACAACAATTCTGGAATACATCTTTTTCAATCCTTAGTTAAACAGTAGGTTGGATAGTTTCACACTTTCATAAAACTTTTATATTAAAAAACAGCTCACTCATAAAGGCTGACACTTTGAACACTCTTGATGCCACCAAAGACCAACTCACAACTCATTCTTAAACCATAATTATACAGACACATTTGTTGCTGCCAAAGACCAACTCACAATTCAACAACTCATTCTTAATCTATAATTATACAGGCACATTTGTTACTGCCAAAGACCAACTCACAATTCAACAAATCATTCTTAATCTATAATTCTACAGGCACATTTGTTGCTGCCAAAGACCAACTCACAATTCAACAACTCATTCTTAAACTATAATTTTACAGGAATATTTGTTGCTGCCAAAGACCAACTCACAATTCAACAACTCATTCTTACACCATAATTCAATGGGCACAATTGTTGCTGCCAAAGACCTACTCACAATTCAACAACTCATTCTTAATCTATAATTCTACAGGCATATTTGTTGCTGCCAAAGACCAACTCACAATTCAACAACTCATTCTTAAACTATAATTTTACAGGATATTTGTTGCTGCCAAAGACCTACTCACAAATCAACAACTCATTCTTAAACTATAATTCTACAGGCATATTTGTTGCTGTCAAAGACCTACTCACAAATCAACAACTCATTCTTCAGCCATAATTCTATAGGCACAACTGTTGTAATTTAATACACAGCTGAACATTTTAAGCAAATCATGTAATTCTCCAGTAGATTATATAAGCATAACTTTAGCTCTACATTAATAATTTAAGGTTCAACAAATAGCACTTCTAAGCTGATTCTACAGGCACAACCATTGTCACCAGACACATAACAGAACTTCTTAAGCAACTTACCACTATAGGCTGATTTCACAGGCATAAATGTTGCCACAAGACACATGGCTCGATCGCTTTCTTCCACACAAGTGCTGTCGTTACACACCTCTTTGACATGTAACGTGGTGTGAAAAGGTTGATACTGGGGCTTCTTTTCTGATACTCCAAATCCAGATTTTAAGCCCTGGTATTTCCTGAAAATACTTCACCCAATAAAATTTCTATACATCTCTGCTCAAACAGTGTTCATTGTGCACCAATTTCTGTCTGTTACACTCAGTTAACATTTAATTACTTACAACCATTCATTTTAAACAAATTGAACATACCAATGCTAAATTATACTGTTTTACAACTAGTTTCCTGCTACAATTCTGGCAACTGTTATGATTTTAATTTACTCAATTTTCCGGTAACCTGTAAGGTACATTATTTTAAAAGATACACTTCATTCTAAAATAGTACACAATATAATAACTCATTTCTTTAATTGTTTAACTAACAAGATAAATTATTACTCACCGTATCCGGCAGTAGAAACTTGAACTTTCACAAGCACCTGAAATAACAGTGTTAATAAAATCAGTAAAAACGTGTATTGCAAAAATTAGTAATTTCTTGACATTCTTACATGTGACAACGTCTAAAAAAACATCACAAAAACAACCACATTTTATCACTGTGTAGATACACCCTACCTTTTGTAACCACTAACCTCATTTATCAGTTAAATACTGTATGTAAAATTTATCAACTGGAATTTATCTGGATTATCTGAACATTATATTTTCTGTTAAAAACAAAAACACATTTAAAGTAATTATAATTATAATACAATAGACTGTATAATTAATAATATATCACATTAGAGCTAGTTCCTTTTAATACTTTCCTAGGCAAAATGATAATGGCCTGATATTTTTTGAGCATTTAGTTATAGTTCATTTTAAATATATTATATAATTCACCAAGCTGCCAATACAATTAATACTTAATAAAACATTGGCTACAACTTACCGTATTTGCCCGAATATAATGCACTTTCAATTTTGAAAGGTTAAATTCAAGAAAATTTGTTCTTTTACAAATAAGTTGTTCAAAATGTATTGAATAGTTTCGAAATACAGTAAACAACTATCGACGTATTAAACACTTTTGTTAATCTTTTACTGAATGTTTTTACGTGTCAACTTTACAAAATGTATTGAATAGTTTCTAAATACAGTAAACAACTATCGATGTATTAAACACTTCTGTTAATCTTTCACTGAATGTTTTTACGTGTCAACTTTACAAAATTTATTGAAAAGTTTATACGTGGTAATACATTAAGCTAATCATTCATCTTCACATAAATCTTCATCATCATTAGAATTGTCACTACCATTGGATTGGATTCCTTTAACTTTTGCTTCATCCTCCTCTTCTCATTCCCACAGCAAGTCATCATCCATTGCAATGGATATGCAACATTTTTTGAAATCATTAATTATTTTCTGTGGTGGCTGCTAGTAAAATACCTAACAAAACTGAACGTGCTTAAATATAATTAGCAGTCACTTTTTCTGGAAGTATTTGGAAGAAAATAAAGTGTGCATTATATTAGGGCAAATAATCAGAATAATGTTAACACTAAAAAATAAACATACAATTACAATGTATTATTACAAAAGAACTGTTACCTTTCTTTCCCTCAGTAAAATGTGCATTCAATCCTTGAGTAAGGTAATTAGCAAAAACAACCTGGTCTCTAGGATATAAAAAGTTCACGAAGCACTGCCCAATCAGCATATCCTAAAAGGATGAGGAGAAAAAGCCTGAATTCCTTCTTATCTTAATTACTCATGAATGCACTTCCCGCTAATCTTTCATTTACATTTTTGAGAAAGTTTAAAAAAAAAAAAAGACTGAAAATAGATTCTTTCAACACAAATGTCCTAAGTAATATTACCACATATATTTAACATAAGTAATCAGTACTACACTTACAAAAAAATTACAGTGGTTCTTATTTCAATTGTATAAAACATAAGCCTCCATTCATATGATACATGCCACTGTCTAAAATATGCTGATAAGTTACCATTATTAACATCACCCTATATTATCTTTCTCTTGGAAGAAATTCTTTAAACTAAACATACAAAACTAGGACAGTGTATATGGCTTTAATGCATGTTAACTAATGTATCCTTAATACAGTAAAGTGCTTCCATGGTTCTTCTTCATAGAAGTCTCTCTCTTTAACCTACAATTCCTCTGCTTTCTGAGCAATACCTTATCAAAAATAAGAAAACTGGTAAGATATATTGGATAAGATTAAGACAAGATAAGTCAATAATTTACATGTCTTACCTTGGGATAGCCAAGGATGGTTGAAATCGAGCTTGTTACATATAAAGTTGACCCATCTTGCAATGATATAACAATACAGAAGCCCTCCTGCAAAGACAACCAACCACAAACATTTAGTTTCTTCAACTCAGGTGAAGAAACACTGTAGCATGATTACATCTGGCAAATGTTTATTGTCTATTCAAACTAGCTAAGCAAGCAATGTACAGTTTGGAATTTTTGTTGTGATAGTTGTTTTTTTTTGTATGTGTAAACATATATGTGTACGTGTGCATGAGATTAATTAAACTTTACACTAACTAAAACATTATTTCTTGTCTAATTCAATTTGCATTGATACTGTTGACAGTAAAAAAAATCATATGGAAATCCACTATTATTAAAACATATAGATAATATTATTGTATCCATTAGGATATAAATATTATACACTAATTCATATTTTTTGAACACAAATAACAAAACATCAGTGTGGCAGAGTTTGAACATAAATTACTAAAGCTGCTCACCAGCTAAAAAAAAAATGATGTTAAGAAGAAAAACATCTTAGGAATTAACTCACCTTAAAAATATGCTTTCTTAAATTAAAAAAAAATAATTAATTTGTTATAGTTCTTTGAAGGTCACTTTGGGATTTTCATGACCAATCATAATTATAAAAATCAGTAAAAAGTAAACTATTACAAATACTCACAAAATTTTGGTTCATTACGCAAAACAATACATTCTGATGTATTTGGACACAGTATTCCATAGTATCATTTAAAAGTGGTTTGTTTAAAAAATTATTTATCAAAAGATACACATACATACATTTGTGAATAAAAAGACCTTCAGTAAAATAAATAAATCTATTAGCACCCTTAATAATAGCTTCAAATCTAATATTTTCCTTTCTTAAGACTGAATGGAATGAAGTAATTTTCATCTTTAAATATACATATAAATATATGGTGAATTTCTAAGACAGAAACAAATTGTATGCAGACTTAATACCACAGATTTCAAGTTAAGTTAAAATAAATAAATGTAAGTTCAGCTTCACACAAATAAATATTGGAACAGTTCACCCTAATGATCCTTTTTACCTCAGAAAAACTTTCTAAAAGTGTTTGAGTTGTGGGTTTCTTTCGTGTTTTTTTTTTTTTTTCGAGTGTTTTCTTAGTATCAGCATTACTGTCATTTTTAAAGTTCTTTAATAACCTCGTGATTTTGAATATTTAACTTTTAAATTACCTATCGGGACTTTCTGGGCAATTCAGATGGCAATTTTGGTAACTTGATTAATGTTCTCATAACAACAATGACTAACAAAAAGACAAGGAAACGTGCGGATTAAAATATGAGATTTAAATAATCACCGCAACGTCATCGTATTTTATCAATATGACTATACTTATGTGCAATATATTCAACAACTTGGAGTATATTAAAATAGCTTCACCGCATTATTAATTATCTTCACTCAAAGATTGATATTAGTCTCTGTCACGCAAAAGCATTACATAACCTCGCCTACAACTCCAATCCTAGTTGCTTGTCCTTCAACGCCTTCCGATCGGTAGCACGCGTATTGACGTCATACAGCACGAGGCTCAGCGCGTGACATCTTGAGCACGCGCTCCAAAACCGTGACAAGAGACTGGTTTTCCAGATCTCTCAGGTTTAGAGCCGAGCCGCATCCTCTATCCCCCCCCCTTTTTTAAAGAATTTTTAGGGGGTGGAAAAAGATAGAATTTTTAAATCAGACATCGAGGATTAGGGTTGTTGTTGTTGTTTTTTGTTGTTAATGCAAAGTTGGATTGAATGCTGTGTTGATACTATAAACGTAATAACGACGAAACAAGATAGTGAAGCTAAAAAACGCTTTCTTGTTTGGCAAATAACTGTCCTGGCTATTAAAACTGAAACGAACGTCCTGTTAAAGTTTTAGTTATTTAATTTTGTTTCACATAGATTTGGTAGTTAAAAATTAAACATTTAATTCGCCTCTTTTCTAGCTGGGAAGAAATATAAACACCACCCACCGCCAAACTGTGGGCTACTCTATTCGAAAAATGTGATTTTTACTGTCACTCTTATAACGAACCTATGACTCGAAAGTGTGAGACGCTATATTGTTTGGCGGTAATGGGGCTCGAACGACAGAACCTTGGATCCATAGTCCGGCACGCTAAGCCTTTTCTGCTCGGAGTATAAAACGTGTAAGCATGTACAAAATTCGGTTTGCAATTTCTTTTTTATACATACTTTTATGTAATTGTAGGCTAAAAACTAGAGCTTCCTTTCATATTATTAAGTTTTGTTTTTATTTTATAATGAAAGAATTTTTTTCAAAATTACATAACAGTTCACAACCAAACAAACATTGCAAACAATAAACTTACCCCATTTTTTACGACGGGTTTGTTGTTTAGATCTTTGAAAGAACCTGGCTTTAAGATGGGATCTTTATGTCCGGACAGAAGTTCTGTGGACTTAACTAAAAATTAAATCACACAATTGAAACAGAGCTTCAAAAGTTTATCATCTCGAATTATACTTGTTACTTGTTAATTTTCAAAATTACCTTTGTTATCTAGAAACTGATAAACCATGTACACAGCTTACGTGAACAATCTTTAGCAATATTTGAAAAATACTTTTATGTAAAAAAAATATATACAGAAAACATATTAGCAAACCCTATAGCCAGTTCTCTTGTTACCATAATGACATTTAGAGGTTACCGCCTCTCCTATGTTAAATAAGAATAACCAGTTATGTGGTTCGCGCTATTTGTTATGGGTAAATCCGACGTTTCCAATTAAGTAAGAAACGTTAGACTTAACTTTTTTTTCTTCTCTTCTCATTTTAGTAGTCTTACTGCGATAACGAATGGGATTTTTCTAATCATCTTGATTCCTCAAATAGTGTCATGATTTTCTGAATCCACTCAACGTTAATCACCTCATCAAGTGGAGTACCACAAAATTACGTTGAATTTGATCTCACATGAAACTAGTTCCCATTTATATTACATCGATTCGATATCCGTGTCTGATGTTCTGAAAATATCCGGAGATATACAACTGTCATGCAGGCAGGTATAGTACCGCTCTCCAAAACTATGACAATTATTATAGCTGGGTGGATAACGTGCAGAGAACATTAAAGGGGCAGGGGGCTCAAAAGGAAACAAAAAGGACACTTTAAAGAATCACAAAGCAAACTTTTTGTTTTGTTTTTGAAGGAGATCCTATTTTTGAAGGAGATCAACAGATCCAATTTTATTCTTTAATTCAGTATTATAAACATTTTACTGTATGAAAACTTATAATACTTGTGGAAAAAAGAATGTTTCTAAGTCAGGGGAAAAGGCATGAGAGGAGGAGCTTAAGCCCACCCAATCTTTTAACGTATGTAGATGTTAAGAAATACACCAAGATATTGACATAATACATGTACGATATGCTTTTCCGAGTTATACGTTCGTCCTACAATCTGTCAAACATATAAAAAAAACGTCTCTTTTTCAATTTTGTACGTTTAAATTCACTTATTTTAAAGACTTTCCATGAGCTGTTTCCTTCACTTAACAAGTTTATAACAAGTTTATGTGAAGTTTTCCAGTTTTTTTGTTTTTTTAAGTAGAGCCGTTACATCCTTTAAAACTACTCTAAGTTTAACGGAAATAACTGTAAAAATTCATTAACCAAAGTTGCAGATTTTCGAACAATCCCACGTCACGTACAGTACGATTTTTATTTCCGTTAAAAAACTGGGTTGGTTTGTTTTAAATCTCGCGCAAAGTTGCACGCAAGCCGTCCCTAATTTAGCAGTGATAGACTAGAGCTAGTCATCACCATCCACCGCCAAAGATAGTGGGATTGACCGTCACATTATAACGCCTCCACGGCTGAAAGGGCGAGCATGTCTGGTGGGACGGGGATTCGAACCCGCGACCCTAAGATTGCGAGTCGAGTGCCCTAACCACCTGGACATGCCGGGCCGTCAAAAACTGGTGCACATAACTGATTGAAAAACAACATACATGCATACAATGGCTAGCTCTTCCAGCAATGGATTACCAGTTCAAAATAAAATAAAGAGAGAGAGAGACACAGATGAAAACTTTAAAAATTAAGCAAATTAGAACTACTCGTACGTCTAAACTGCTGAGGACAAAATCGAGATAAATGATATACTTACTTCCAATGCTTTGAAAACATGAGAGGATTGGAGAAATTATGCCTAAACTTGTGGTGTCCTCTGGAGGCAGAAGTGCCTTCATTTCCGAGTTTGATTTTTTTGTGTATTTTCTTTTAATGGGAGCTTTTACCTCTGGTGTAGCATCAGAACTACGAAACACATAAAAAATCACTGTCAAATTATGCGTAAATTATTAGGATATCATGCAGAAACACGTATTAAAATATTAGCTACAAGAACAACAAAAAATTCATTTTTGGTTTATGCCAACCCATGGATGTTCCTGATCAATCACATCACTGACACGTGAAAGCTTTAGCTTTCGACTTTTTGCCACTTCTGTTTGTTTATTTGTTTGTTGTTTAACACAAAGCTACACAATGGGTCATTTGTGCTGTGTACATCACGGGCATCGAAACCCGATATTTTGCGTCATAAGTCCAGAGACTTACTGCAGAGCCAATGTGGGGCTTGTCACTTCTGACAATCGGCCTTGATCATCCTTCGCTAGCCGTCCCTAATTTAGCAGTGTAAGACTAGAGGAAAGGCAGCTAGTCATCACCACCCACCGCAAACTCTTGGGCTACTCTTTTACCAAAGAACAGTGGGATTGACCGTCACATTATAACGCCCCCACGGCTGAAAAGGTGAGCATCTTTGGTGGGACGGGGATTCCAACCCACGACCCTCAGATTGCAAGTCGAGCGCCCTAACCACCTGGCCATGCCGGGCCTAATCATCCTTGAACTCTTATTGGTAGGCTCGTCAGAACACGTGCCCTTCGAATACAAAAATCATTTTTCTATTTCCAAAATTATTCTCACTTACTTTCACCATTTTTCTCAAAAGTAAAATTAATTTTGGGGGTTGTGCGAGAAAAGATCACATATACAAACCTACTATTATAATTGATTAATTATAATTCCAATAACCTACGAATGTTGTAATACATAATACTTTATTATACTAAATATTTAGTTAACTTCATTTTGCTTCAAATACTTAATAATCATTACATAATTAAAGTACTAAAGTTAAAAAAAAATATGTTTCAAACTTAAAATTTGTTAAATTTTTCAATATATAAAAAAAAGTCAACGCGCATGCGCACTCATGACGTTTACGAAAAATAATTTAACAGTGTTAAAATAGGCATATACAAAATTTTGCTTTACCATATGTTGATTACGAATACCGCGATTTAAATCCAAAAATTTAACCACGTTCTGCTTTTACGAAAATTGAACCTTTTTAGCACTCATTAGAAGAATGGCAAAATTTTATGAATTTAAAGTTCTACTAAGACTAAAACTTATTTGACTAATTATAGTAAGTAGACGAAACTCGAAACTTTTGGTTTAATTGTTGTCATGTTATCGCTCAATTATAATTATCAGTTAGTAACAAATCATTTTTATAACTTGATACTAATTATTTTTTATCCCACGTTTCGACTGCTAATAAGTTGTTGTTTCACAAAAGTCCTGAGAAAGTTATTTCTATGTTGATGGTGGCTGGAATTCAAGCGTGGGTGTTTTTTTTTGACAGAAAGTCTATTACGTTATTTAGTCGATGAATTAATTTTTCTTAATTACTTTCATGTTGTATTAATTAGAAGCGTATTTTAATTTTGGAGGGGTAGATATAAGAGAGAAGCCTTAGAAAAATACAAATATGTCATTAATTTGTTTTCTCCTCCCAAATGTTACAAGTAGGCGTAACAAAATTCATTCCAAAATTAATGTATAGCGCAACTGCACTGAACGATTAACAGTGCTTTGTTGACTTTTTATTTCGCCCTTTTTTTGCCGATTAAACCCACCATTTACTTGTTACCACACGTAAGTGGGCTAAATTTACTTTCTCGCGTCACCCTGTTATTTATTAACACCCTGTCTCCACTTTTATCTCTTACTCCACGTTAGGCCTTTTCATTTATGCCTTATTTCCCTTTTGAATTAATAATCCCTTCACCTATCCAGGCTTTCTCATATAACATATAAAAGATATTTAAAAGTAGGGTATCTTGGTCTTTTGTTAAGGGTCAAAACTAATAAATGTTAAGTTTCACATTTATTAAAATCCTAAATACAGCACAGGGAGATGCTAGTAAAAACATTCACGCGTATGGTCGTAATGTAAACTACGTATAACTAACTTTTGTTTTAGGAGTGAAAAGATGAGCAAGGGAACAAAAAATAAAATCATTAAAACGATTTCATGGCAAAAACCATCTTTTTTGTTAAAAGAAAAATAGGAGTAATAAAGAATTTGATGTAAAAAATGTGAAACTCTGAGAAATTACATAGAAATAATTCAAAATAAAGATGAAAAGTCAAGCTGGAAAAACCTGTCATCAGTCGTCTTAAATGATATTAGCTAATTAACCACTTTCTTGATAACCAGCTCAATTTTTGATTTTAGTTCAGAACCATTAGATCTAAAAGAAGTCACGTTTTTCTAGCTTCTTTAGATATAGACGTCATATTTCTAACAGTCAGCTTCAGACTGATGTAAATACATATTGATTTTCTTCTATACCTACTGACGTCATTAATACCTTCATAAAACCCAGTACGCTTCTAAATCCAAGTAAACTAATGTGCTATAACAAACTGACAACTGGTGTTCGAATTTTATTCGAGTGGAAAAATAAAATCCAATTTTTACACAAACATTTTAACAAATTACTTACTAGCATTTAAACAGAAAAACTGCTTTAAAAATAGCTTTTTACTATTTACTTTCACTGAAACCAATATATCTTTGACGTAAAACAAAATGGTATAAAGGCGTCACCTTACAGACAAGAACGACAACTACTCACGTTTTTTGTAGACCAATATTTCTGGTCAATTTTTCCTTTCAGATTAGGGTTGAGCGTAAAGGCTAAACACAAAATGAATTTAAAGTGCCATTACTAAATCCATGAAAATACACGTCCTCACTGTGAAAATAAGTACGTTAATTCCGCCACTAGATGGCTTTCGATGCATATAAAATAAGTTTCCACGATATATATAAAATTATACAATACTATGTTACGTTTGAGTTCTGTCTTATCAACATTCTCCAAATATCTTCCATGCCATCCCTCAAATTACAGAAGCCGGGATGAGGTTTATTTACTATAGAAGAGTTTAAAAGGTTTGTACTTCGTGTAACTAGAGTTGGGAAATCAGCTGAAGCAGATTACCAGACAAACAAACATCATCAACATTTCACGGGTAGTTCGTTTACCATATCGAAAATGGACTACTACAAGAATTCACTCATATTTTTACCCGAGAAACACATCAAGAACCTTGTCGAAGAACGACCTGCTAGATAATGCTGTTTTGTTTTCTCCGTTAATACAACAAGTACTTCAAGCTGGAGAACAAGAGAATGTACGAACCGTGTCCACGTACGTCTCCAATAGATTGAATAAACATTAAATCTAGTTGCGAAACGTCAAACACTTCAGATTAACGTAATTCGCAATGACTCGCCTTCTGTTAGTGACAGATTGCTCGGGAAAAACAAAGGCAAAAAAACAAGGAGCTTGGATTCGAAAACTAGAGGTCGAAATGCTAAACATTTGCTCTAGGTGCAACATACAAGTTTAAAAATATAGACAGTGTAGAAAACATTAAAACAGGACAATATTTACTACTGCAATGGTCCCTATGCTGTTTATGTATATCCAGTTATTATTATTATGATATTGAACAACATTTGTGTGTTATTACAATTTTAATACGGTAATGATTCAATGTTTCAACCAAAGCAGTTTGTGAAGTAAAGTAGCTGAATGTTACCAAACAGTTTGTGAAGTAAAGTAGCTGAATGTTACCAAACAGTTTGTGAAGTAAAGTATCTGAATGTTACCAAACAGTTTGTGAAGTAAAGTATGCTGAAGTAAAGTGCTGAATGTTACCAAACAGTTTGTGAAGTAAAGTAGCTGAATGGTGCCAAACAGTTTGTGAAGTAAAGTAGCTGAATGTTACCAAACAGTTTGTGAAGTAAAGTAGCTGAATGGTGCCAAACAGTTTGTGAATGGTGCCAAACAGTTTGTGAAGTAAAGTAGCTGAATGTTACCAAACATTTTGTGAAGTAAAGCAGCTGAATGGTGCCAAAAAGTTTGTGAAGTAAACTAGCTGAATGGTGCCAAACAGTTTGTGAAGTAAAGCAGCTGAATGTTACCAAACAGTTTGTGAAGTAAAGTAGCTGAATGTTACCAAACAGTTTGTGAAGTAAAGTAGCTGAATGTTACCAAACAGTTTGTGAAGTAAAATAGCTGAATGGTGCCAAACAGTTTGTGAAGTAAAGTATCTGAATGTTACTAAACAGTTTGTGAAGTAAAATAGCTGAATGTTACCAAACAGTTTGTGAAGTAAAATAGCTGAATGGTGCCAAAAAGTCTGTGAAGTAAACCAGCTGAATGGTGCCAAACAGTTTGTGAAGTAGAGTAGCTGAATGTTACCAAACAGTTTGTAGGGTAAAGTAGCTGAATGGTGTAGATATGAGGTCCTAAACAGTTGCACACATGTTTTGAATGTGTATGTGTGTTTACATTAACAACTTTCAAAGTGAAATAAATAAAAATACAGAATGGAGTAATGTTATATATCAACTTCAGCTGTCTACAGAACAAATTTCCATTTAAACATTTTGTGCATTAATCGCAATCTAGTCCAAATTTTCATTGCATACACACAGAATTTAAGTGTATTGGGTAACAGGGAGATTACCAGATGTATCTGACCAATGAAAGAAAGATAAACGGTCATGACTTATAAACAAGTAAACATGTGATTGAAAGTACCAACGGTGTGAGTCAATACATGCGTCTGTTTGTTTGTTTGTTGCTAAGCTACACGGTTTCGACCGTTATAAGCCCTCAGACTTACCGCCGAGCTACGGTGCGAGGAAGGTGTACAAACAAGTGTGATCAACTATTAACGACATATATTTTAAATATACACGACTATGCTCATGTAAGATTCGACGCCACTGCTAGTTTTTATTCTTTTTAGTGGTAGTATTTGTATTATACTTTAACAGGATCTTCCCAAAACTAGTTTTACAACAAAACGTCGACATATATTTTAAATATACACGACTATGCTCATGTAAGATTCGACGCCACTGCTAGTTTTTATTCTTTTTAGTGGTAGTATTTGTATTATACTTTAACAGGATCTTCCCAAAACTAGTTTTACAACGGAACGTCTACTGAATAAGACTTTAAGATCTTTCCAAGTGTATAGATACTTTAAGACTTCTATCTTTTTATGCTAAGAAATGCCACGACATTTTAGGATTGAATCAGCTAGATGGGCTACGTTGTAATAGTGGCGTAATTACAAAAGTTGTCACTCACCCACCCATCCACCCCCGCATAAAAAGTAATTGGGCTTCCTACATTTATTTCCCGATAATTGTAGTTACGATTCTAGCTGATTGGTATCATTACCTTACGAGAATATTCTGTCGATACTCACCGGTACTGAGTAATGGAACTCATTTTTTTAAGGCCGGGCTTTATTTGAATTGCTTTTTCGTTTTTTTATGTTTAAAGGTATTGTTTTTGTTTTCGAAATCAGGTCCACTTTACTCAGCTGTGTACCTCTACCGAGTACCTTTTTTTTTCAGAGAGAATTTCACCCCTGCTTTTGCCTATTGGCCACTTTCATATTTTACAATAAACAACGTATTCGTCATCCCTAGCAGCTACCAATCGTCACTGTCTATAAAATTACCATTAAACAATACGTTCTGAAGAAAAATTACACCTACTCATAACAATCAACTTTAGTATGCCATATTACAAACTTTTAATTGTATCAAATAATGTGGAAATTTATTTTGATAAAATTACAACTGCCCACTGCGCTGTAATACCAGAGAGTTAAGAACTGGGAACTTTTAAGCGCCAGATCAACAATGGAAAACGTAATTTAATATTCTGAACAGTGTGTTGGGGAAGTGTCCTACAGCTTCCTAAAACAAGTGTTTCGTTCCTGCAGGGCCAAATTAGCAGGTAATCTGTTACATCTCTCCTTCATATAGCCTTCAAAGTATGACGTGTGTTATATGGCTTCTAAGTTCTATCCATTTACATCACCGTTACTCCCGCCATCACCTTGTCTTCTCAACTGACACAGTTTGTATGGTTTCCTTAAGCCTCGCGGCCTAGTTACCCGCTGTAGCAGTCTTCACAACCCAGTTCCACAAATTAAGTATCCCACACAAGGCCACAAAAGATTTCAAAAATGTTATAAATATTTTGCAGCCCTTCAGTTGCGTATAGAAGGCGTTACGTAAACTTGTGTTTGTTACTACGTTTTCTGAAAACGCTACAATACAAAATTCTGAATTTTACTTATAATCTGGTTTACAAAGCCAACACATACTAAACATAAATTTTGTTGTAATATCTCCTACTTAAATATGCAAGCTTTGCTTTAATTAAAAAAAAAAAGTGCTTTTCAAACTTTCACTAAAAAAAAAAGGCTATTAATATAATAATTAGAGTCCCTGGTTTCTTTTTATGGAAGTTTGTTAATTTCTTAAGCACAAAGCTACACAATGGACTATCTATGCTGTAACAACCACGGGTATCCAAACCCTATTTTTAGCAATGTAAGCTTTCAGACTTACTGCTGAACTACTGGGGCTTTTATCAAAGTTGTTTAATATAACATTGTGAATAACACGTGCTGGTTCAGATTAAATATCATTAAATATACATTTACTGTGTTTTTAAAAACATTTTAACCCAATAACTATTTATAACACAAACTAATATATAGAAAAGCTATACAATAAAACACTTATATTTTGTGTTTTCAAAAGCATGTTAACCTAGTAAATATTTACATCACAAAGTTTAAACACAAATGACTTATGATAAACCTAAATATTGTAAACATAATTTCTGTGAATAGCAGTTGTTTTATTTTACCACCAATATTCCACACCCAAATTGCAAATGAGGTTTCCCGAGAGAAAAAAAAAATACTAGCTACCATATCTTACATAAAAACCATACAACACAGGTATATGTAATTTTTCTCTTCTGTCAATAATGCAGATATCAGATATATAGCTACCATATCTTACATAAAACCATACAACACAGGTATATGTAATTTTTCTCTTCTGTCAATAAAGCAGATATCAGATATATAGCTACCATATCTTACATAAAAACCATACAACACAGGTATATGTAATTTTTATCTTCTGTCAATATGGCAGATATCAGATATATAGCTACCATATCTTACATAAAAACCATACAACACAGGTACATGTAATTTTTCTTTTCTGTCAATAAGGCAGATATCAGATATATAGCTACCATATCTTACATAAAAACCATACAACACAGGTATGTGTAATTTTTCTCTTCTGTCAATAAGGGAGATATCAGATCTATATATATGAATTGTACATAGATCATCAGTGACTTTAGTAACTCACACACACATATATATATATATATATATATATATATATATATA